CGTTCTACATGTAGAACACTTTATTTATCATTCTCAGATGCAGTTACATTTTCCCATGTATTTATCCCTCCCTCTATTTCTCATAATCAATTCGCCAAATTATTTTCCCATTTAAAATCGACTAATAAACTTCCATTTATTCACAAATTTACATTCAATAATTCACAAATAAAAGCCGAAGATATAATTTCCGTTTTAGAAAATTGTGAAAATTTACAAGAATTATACATTCTAGGATGTAAAGAGGTTAAATTATTATCAATAACAACAGCCATGAAAAATTTATATCAAGAAAATGAAAATTTAGAAGATAAAAAAATCATGGTAAAAAAAAGATTACAAAAATTAAAAAAAATTGTATTAACTAGATGTGTTGGTGGAAAAAGGCATTCTTTCACGATTAAACAAATTTTAGAAGATTTACAAATTTTAAAGAAATATCAACAACAACAAGAAAAAGGCAGAAGGATTAATAATTGTAATAATTGTTATAATGAAAATCAAAACAACGCTTATGGCAAGTCGTACAACATCGACACAATTTCAACAATTTCAGCTACAATGTCAAATATGATGCCTGCCGTTTTGATGTCAAATTCTGTCAACATTTACACAAATGTCAACCTCACAACAAATCCGATAGAATGTAATAAAAACAATAATGAAAAAAATGATGCAAATGACGGCATATTCCAATTCCAATCATGTTCGGATCTTTCATGCGAACTTTGTACACTAAAATGCGCTGGATGTAATACAAAATATAAATATTGGGATGAGTTTTGGATCAAGTGTGGTTGGTGTAAAGACAGACATTTTTGTGGGGGATGTGTTATAGAAGCTTCAAAAAAGAATGTTTTTAAAACTTATGCATTTCAGTTTATGAGAATAAAATTATGTCAAATGTTCGATTTACCTTGTCCTCATTAGATTATTTTTACGCATAATTAGAAATTAAAAAAAAAATGCGTGAATATTAGCATGAATATTGGCATGAATATATTGGCATGAATATATTGGCATGAACATTAGCATGAATGCTAGCATGAATATTAGCATGAATGCTAGCATGAATATTAGCATGAGTATTAGCATGAATATTAGCGTGAATATTAGCATGAATATTTTTCCCAATAATAATTTTGTATCATTTCCATTTTCTTTTTTTTACATTTTTCCCCATTATCTTTTTTGCAATTTCCATAATTTTCATCATTTGCATATTTTTATTTTTCAGCTTAGTAATTCAGTTTACCCGATCAGTTTACCCGATTGTATATATCCTCAATGAATAATAATAATAATAATAATTATTAATAATAATTAATAATAATAATAATAATAATAATTATTAATAATAATTATTAATAATAATAAAAAAAAAAATAAATTCTTAGACCCAATTATATTTAGTAAGTTAGGGGCTACCTTCTTGCGTCATATAAAGTTTGAATTGTAATATCTA